ATTTATTTTTTATATTGATCTAGAATACAATATTATAAATGTATTTTTATGTTTGTTTTACTACAATTTCAAAGATCTCTGCACAGCTGCTGATTGGATCTTCCCAAGAGAACATTCTTAGGCACTCTCAAAAAACTAAGCAACATAAAAAAAAAGTAGACTTCACTCACGCGAAAGCCAATGTGCTGAGCTAACCTCGACAATCGGTTCAAATCCTGAACAAAAAGAGTAAATTGGAGTGCCAAGTTGTAGCCCCAATTTCGGTTTGGCCTTCCCAGAGTTTTCATGGGTTATGCAGCAGCTTTTTCACCTGCTTGCAGTGCATGATTTATGCAGCTTGCAGTTATAGAAAGGTCGCTTCTCGGTCTCTAGTTTGCGACACCTGCGGCCCAGGGACAGCTAAAGTGGATGGCTGGCGGTAGCCACTGTCTGCTGCTCCACAAACCAATGACTCGGACTTGCAGTCTGAGCTCTGAGCTGTGAGCTGTAAGTTGTGGCTGGGACCAACGATCGGATAACTTAATTTGGTTTTTCTGTCGAAAAGCGGCGCGAAAGGCGGCTAATGCGTTGCCACGCCTACAACTGGAGTAGCATACAAAGCTCGCTGATGACCCAGTCAGCCAGAGAAAGGGAGCACCAAGAAGGGAGCGAGAAGCGGGCGAGAGAGTAAGAGATCTGGCTGCTGCTTCTCAATATTAATGGGCGTCCCGCATAAATTTACACTGTTAAATATATTTTCGGCTTGCCCTGATGAAATGGCAGCTCAGCTACCTCTCTCCCTCTATCTCGACCTCACTTTATGCTACTCTCACTCTCTCTCTCTCTCTCTCTCTCACTCTCTCTATCCGTTTTGGCAGCCTTAATTTGAAGCTCTCTTTGTGTGTTGCTTACAAATGGCCTCCCATTTGTCTCGGTCAGTTTAATGTGCGTCTTCCCAACTTCATTAGCCTGGCCAAGAAAAGTTCTGGGAACGTGGCCGAGCAGCTCCTCTGGCCAGTTTACAGTTGCACATGCATACGCAACGCCCACGCCCACGCGTCGCCTGCCAAAGGCGCCTGTTAGCTTTACAAAGTGTTCTTGCTGTCTACAGTGAAAACTCTATTAACTTACCGTTTTCTAGGGCGAACAACTTTGAAGAGATGCGCTTGCATAATTAAAGAAACGTATGCCTGCAACGCAGCTAACGTATTCGCGGAACGGTTTCATGGAACGTAGTCATGGTACCTATTATAAGATCTATGAAACTCTTTCGCAGAATCAGTTTATATCGGATAGGCTTTGCTTTTCGGAGGAGATATACAATGGGTGCCAGAGTTTAGGTCTTCTAAATGTTTGTTATCCTATTCGTATCATACAGTCCAGTATCATATAATTTTTCCATTTTGCGTTTCCCTATTCCATTCTTGACTTTCTGTACTTTAGCTTATTTAAAGATTAGGTTAACATATATTAAGAAAAAATCATATTCCATTTGCTTATTTTAACATTTAACATACCAATCGAAGCATGCAATTTACAATTACAAAAATTTTTATATACAATTTGAACGTTCCTTAACTTATCTCTAAAGTGAGTTTTCACTGTATGTCTAATAAAGTCTTGAATTAAAAAATCTTAAATATAAATTTTCGGTGGGTTTCGGCAGTTAAGTTTCTGGGGCGGCAGCTGCAGCTGCGGCACGCGTGCGTTTCAATTCCTCCTGATGCTGCAGTGTAATTTCCAGAAACTTAAGATATTCTTCATCCACTTCCTCCACCTCGTCGGGGTCGGCAAACAACTGCTGCTCCTCCAGCTCCTCGTCTTCCACTTCCTCATCCTCCTCGTCGTCCTCCCTCTCACTACAGCTTTCAGCTTCCGCCTGCTCCATTCTCCTGCCACAGACGCTGCGCACCTGTGCCTGATGCCACGCCAGCAGAGACTTGTACGTGCTGCACCAAATCTCGGCGGGCAACTGTGGTGCACCCACAGCGGCCGCAGCTTCTGCTGTTGCTGACGCCTTTGGCTTCTTACGTTGGTGTTTGCGTTTGCGCTGCTTGCGTCGCTTCTTTTGCCTGCCCAGTTCCATAGTTTGGCTCGTCCGTATTAATCCTTATTATTATTTATTGTTATCAGCATAATTTTGTTTACTTTCTTGTTGCTTTACATTTGGCGTCTATCGAATTTGTGCTTATCGTCATAGTGCTGCCAGATAGCTAGCAACAACAGCTGGGCAGCGCAGCGTTGCCAGCTGGACAGCACTTCACTTGCCATGAAATGAAAGATAGATGGCGCACACATACTTTTTCAACCGTTGGAAATTTAAAAAGTTTTTTCGTGTGAATTGGAAATAAATTACTAAATGTACTAAATTATTCGAAAGTAATTATTAATTATGTATTAATTATA